GGGCGAGCCGGGCACGGCGAGGGGGTGCTCGTGGGCAGCGCGGGCAGGAGGGGCGCCCGTGGGTGCAGGGTGGGGATGCACACAGTTACAGGGTGCTCATGGGTGCCCAGGGCAGTGCACACAGAGGAGCGGGGGTGCCCATGGGGAGCACAAGCAGCTGTGGGGACCCCGCTCCCCCCCAGGAGTGCCCACATCGGTGCCATGCAGGGGTGACCGAGGGCTGTGGGGTACACACAGGGTGGGGGTGCAGGGCAGGGGTGGCAGACCCTTGCAGGGGCACCCAGTCCCTGGGGCAGGGGCTCCAGGGCAGGAGGGACAAAGGGGATTTGGCCTCCCCATGCTGCTCCCAGGGGTCTCCCAGTCTCCAGGGCGAGAGCAGGAGGGGACAGCCCCACCCCCCCCCACCCCCCCCCCCACCCACCGCAGGCCTTTTTGGGCTGCACCAGGCGGAGGGTGAAGGGCTGAGCCCGGGGCAGCTCCCGCAGCATCCGGGCCACCTCGTAGTGCCGGCAGCCCACGATGGTGTGGTCGTTGATGGCCTCGATGCTGTCGCCCACGCACACCGTCTGGATGCGGTTGATGATGCTCCCCTCCTTGATTCTCTGGGGACACGCAACGACAAGGTGACACCACGGGAAGGACAAGCGCAGCCGCCTTCCCACCCCCACACAAAACCACCTCTGTGGTCCCACGTCCTTTAGCAACGGGGTCAGGCAGGGACGGGTCCCCCCCCCAAACCGGACAATGGTGGAGGAGACCCCCCTGAGGGCCAGGGTGGACCCAGAGGAGACTGATAGCAGATGGAGGAGCGTCACAGAAGGGGCACAGTCCCAAGGACGTGGTGCCAGCAGGGGATGTCACCCGGCAGGGCCACAGCCCCCAGGGATGCCCCCAGCCCAAATGTGGCCCCACAGGGTGGGGGCTTCACCTTGATGAAAGCGTAGCCGGCCCCGTTGTCCGTGATGGTGAGGCCAAGCGCATCCTCCGTCTTGGTCACCTCCACCTCTTTCGTCTCACCCCGGACATGGGCGAAGATGAAGTCCTCCAGGCCGATCTGGCCCCCCAGCAGCTTCTGCATGTCCACTTTGTGTGTGTTGAGCGTGCAGAAGAGGATCTGCCCCGGGGAACCCCGTCACCAGGGGCTGGGGCTGCCCCAGCAGAGCCGGGAGGGGGCATCGGTGGTGCCGGGGCAGGACTCGGCCGTGGAGGAGCTGGCCAGGTCTGGGCACTGCTGGAGCAAAGGGGGCTGGGGACCCCCAGCCAGCCCGGGGACCCAGCGCTGCACTGTCCCTGTGAGCCCTTCCCTCGGCTGTGGGCCAGGCAGGAGCTGGCGTCAGCCAGGGAATAGGCAGCCCCGGGTCCCTGCCCACGTGCTGGGAGGGGGGAAACTGGGATAGGGAGCCCCCCAACGCCTCCCCAGAGGAGATGAGACAGCCCTGGGATTAAGCAGCTCTTTCCCAGGACATTTCGG